GAGGTGTGGGAATCGAACGAAAATTCGATCCTTTTTCCCGCTGACTGAAACACTTTGAGAAAACTTGGTACGCAGGAGCTTTTTCTCGTNTGAGGATATTAGTGAACTACAATTGCATTTCCGGGACAATGGCTACATTTATCTCATTGTTTTAATTATTTTACTAATAACAATAATTCTTATCGCGATTGTGTATTTTTATTTCGCGAGAATACGGTATGTTTTACAGAGAAGAAGACGTTTAGAGGCTATAGATCTGAATGACATGTCGGCGCGTGTCAAACTTGTGACGGAATCTATCCCTTCCCGACCCGCACCGAAGTACCCCAGAATCCGTATGAACCCTTCCACCGGAATTCTCTCCCTGAGTACGAATTGAAATAATTTCAAGGCAGAATTTCTCTCTGTACAAAGCTCTTTATTTTCGATTCCTAACGATTACACGCCTATTCCCCGTCGACCAAAACAAAGTCATCAGAACTGACGTTAACCGCGGAATTTTGAGCTTCTTCGACAACACCCCAGAATCCGTATGAACCCTTCCACCGGAATTCTCTCCCTGAGTACGAACTGAAATAATTTCAAGGCAGAATTTCTCTCTGTACAAAGCTCTTTATTTTCGATTCCTAACGATTACACGCCTATTCCCCGTCAACCGAAACAAAGTCATCAGAACTGACGTTAACCGCGGAATTTTGAGCTTCTTTGACAACAGGTTCCACTTCCGATAGAAACCCGACAGGAGGTGGAAGAAATTCTGGAACCATGTCCAATGAGATGAGGTCAGGAACCACGTCAACCGACAATTGCGGTGGTACAGGAGACGATGCTGGAGTCATCGGCGGCGTCAAGATTTGCCACAGCTCCTCCGCCCTCCTCAGGTACGACAGCAACCAAGGCTGGAGAAAGAAGACAACAAGAAACACCAAGGGAGACATGCAATCATGCAACAACAAGGATTTTTTGCATTCCCAGCTAAGTCTTACTTGGTTTAAAAGTTGTCATGCGAGGTATACGTGATCTAATGGTCGCGAACCCATCTTGAATTTCATTAACAGTAGTTTCGCGTACTATCATTGGACCAGGAGACAAATCTTTCATTTCAATTTCCTCCACTTTTCATTTGTTTTTAGTGCTAATTTTAGGAGACTTGGGACAATACTGTTAGTTTTGGTTGGTTAAAAGACAGAAGCCATGCAAAGAAATTGTTTATGGATAACAAACGGTGCAGAAAAGAAAAGCAAAAGTACCTTTTTCCTCAAGCACCAGGCAATCCACCCGGTCGCCAACCCGAAAACTGTCAGACTAAGGCCACTAATTAGGCCCACAGCCCAATTAGAAAACAGTTCAGTGGCGAATTCCGCCCCCAAAACCGCTTTCCCTTCAACGGCCGTCACCGTAATATTGGCCCGATCTCCAGAAACGATTTTGGTCTCTGGCAGGTTCTTTAGTACCGAGACAATGATGGAAGGCTTGGTCAAAACTGTAAAAATCCCAATTCTGATTATATGCACTAATAGTTAAAGCTATTCCAGAGCTCTTACCAGGAGCTGGAGTGGTATGTGTCGTTGTTTCAGGAACTGGACCCGTCGTCAGCACATTTACAATGGTTGACGAGACCGGAACAGAATCCGGAATGCTAGTTGTGGTGCCGGAACCCGGGACAGATGTTGCTGCCGCGACGTGAGAAGTCGATGCTTCCAACGTCACCGCCACCGACGCCCTTGTCAACTCCACCGTAGACGGCGAAAACGACGAAGACGGCAATTCCGTCGCATCCCCACGACCAATGCAGAATTCAACGGGATCCACCATCGACGCTTGAAAATTACCTTCACATCGAGTGGGCCCCAACAACTCCACTTTCTGAACAAGAAAAGCATAGAAATTGCAAAAAAATGCCACTCCAAACCAGTTTTAACTCCACTAACCTTGATTCCGAAGAAGTCCAGGCATCCGAAGTCCAGGACTTGCCCCGTCAGAACGATCCGACCATCGAATTCGGCCGCACGGACCGCGTCCGCATCACACGTCTCTGTGCAGTGCAGTCGGCCATCTTGCACCAAACACCTACCGGATGACGCATCTGGATGCATCACCAGGACCACCAACAGCACAGACACCGCAAACACCGCCATTCTTGTTGACTGTTTGAAAATTTTACAAAGATGCACTAAGATCAGAACTGATCCGAGTTAGTTAAGAAGTCTAAGGGAAATCACCTTTTTGTTGAGATCTCGCAAACCGAATGGTGAATCTGCCCGAAACTTGCAGGAAATCTTCTTTAAGTGACCTAGAAGCAAACGAACCGTTTACTTTTTTCATTTTCAGTCTTGTTCCTCGTAAAAATCGATCGTTTCTCGTATCTCGCGAACAAAATCCTCAACGAAAAACACGAAATTCACCGCGAAAAACGACCCGAAACCGCCGGAAAACATCAAGAATGGGAATTTAAACTAATATTAATGAGGACCAAGCAAAAAAACACTCAATTTAAGCAAAATTTTGACAAAGTGGATTATAGCATAAGGCCTAAGGGGGTCAAGAGCACATACCTGCAAGGGGGTGCAAGGTGAACTGAGGTACAGGCATGGCAATGCCAGACCTCTGCAGCTTCCTGGTGAACCTGAGGAAGTTAGGGGAGGCATGTGTGGTTGTTATTACCACTGTAATTGCTCCCCCATGAGAATGTTTTCCTGTGTAATGTCTTTCAGCATTGCTGAGACGTGATCAGGGGAGGTGTGGGAATTGAACGAAAATTCGATCCTTTTTCCCGCTGACTGAAACACTTTGAGAAAACTTGGTACGCAGGAGCAGAATATTGTAAGAAAAAAGGGTGATCTCGATTTTTCAAAATCTGGAGTACGTAAATGCAGTTTTCAGTGACCTGAACTATGAAGTATCAAGACTGATTCAGCTGAATGGATTCATGGTTTCCGTCGACGCTGACTCTGGGCCGCTTTGCTCTGTAGAATATTATTGTATCGACTGTGTGTGAAGATGAATGAATATCATTTTGAAATACTCTCACGGAGTAACTTTTGTGTTTCCCTCAAAAGTCGCGGAAAACAATTTAAATCTCTGATCCCCATTTTCCTTTAATTATTAGAAAGAGTTCTCAATGACTGATCATCGTTGATTCCTCATTCGTAAAATAGTTTTTGGATAACAATTATTTGTTTTCTCCATTTACAGATGGAAAGAATGAGATTTTTATGTCCCCACAAAAGAAAGAATGAAGAGTCATCTTCACCAAAAGCAGGATGGGGAGGGATAGAGGTTGAAACATTTTTCAAAATATCAAATACACTTATTCATTCATTAAATACTGTGGCAACCCCTCCCTCGTTAAACTGCCAACCCCGTTAAACTGCCAAAATTCTGCTGCACTAACATTGGCGGTTTAACAGGCTTTGACTGCATCTCCATCTGAATCCTGGAAATACAGTATTGTACAGCCAAACATATTGAAGTCAAATTTCAAGGGACCAGCAAAAACAAATTGGACTTACAGAGGTTTTGACTTGGGAAGATTTTGAATTATATAGAGGTTTGAGCTACAGTACAAATAAAGCTCTTTTTCTGGGAAACCTAAAAAATTGCTCAAAATTGTAAATGGTGATTATTCTGGGGCTTAAATGGCTTCTTGAATGAGTTGAAAGGATGCTGATCTTGGAGGTAGGGGTTCATTAGTCTTTCACTTCCTTTAAAACACATCAATTTCTGTTTTCATTTGTTTTGACTTTCTTTGGTCAATAAAATAACAGCAGCCCACAGGCCACAGAAAATTTGACTTATGGAGGTTTGAGGAAAAATTCCTTCAATTTAGGAATGTTTTTAATGTAATTTTTCTAAGGTGATTCAAATGGGGACCTGAAAAAATTCAACTGAGGGAGGTTCAAGATATCAAGGTTCACCTGTATATACCAGTATAGTGTTCCCCAACCTTTTTGAACCCACAGACCAGCAAATTTTCTTACAATTTTCTGCAGACCAGCAGTGTTCCAACAAAATTTTGCAGACTGACAAAAACAATTTTAAATACCTCCCATGAAGTCCTCCAAACAAAACTTTTGTTTCGAAAATCAAGTTAAGAACTAGTGAAGCAGCTATATAGTGCAATATCTGGAAAAAATTGAAAAGCTGAACTTGAAAAATGGTTTGCCAGGAGGAAAACTGGAAATGATTTATTTCAGCAGGTGAAAATTATTCTTGAATGTTGTTAAGGGTACAGCCAACTTTTATTTTAATCAGATAATTTTGACTGCCATTGTCTTTGCAAACCATCAGATAACAATAACAGACTTCATTAAAACTTCTGATGTACAGTATTATAGAATATCCTTAAGTTTTATTAGAAGTTGACTAATTACAGGAGGATCAATCAAAAAACAATGCTTTGGTTTCTCAGAGTTTGACCCAGACATTTCCAACTGCATCATTAAAAGCATAGATAAGAAGCGGATACATGACATAATATAGGCATTTCTGATGCAGTTGAACCTTGCTCAGTCAAACCTCCATGAGCCAAATACCTCTTCAAGTCAAATGTTTTGTAAGTCCCTGCCTGAATTCTCTTAGAAACAATGCATTAAAAACATCCCTATAACCTGAAGTTTTTTCTCTCTAAAACCTCTATAAATCAAATTTTCTGAGGCCTTTTGTCATTATTTTCTTGACATATGAAAAATAAAATCAATAAAAAAATGATTTGATACATCTTGAAAGGGAGTGAAAGACTATTAGAGCAAATGGACCCCTGCCTCCAAGTTCAGCAAGGTGTAAAATTGTTAAGAAGCAAGTTTGGTCCCAGAATATTCTCATTTACAATTTCCCACAATTTTTTAAACTTTTCCATGCAACCAAAAATGCTTGTTCCCCTGAACTGGAAACCTCCAAAAATCAAAACCTCCCTATATATGTTGAATTTTGACTGGTCCCTAGAAATTTGACTTGAAGAGGTTTGACACTGTACGCTGTTTATATTCAGAAAGCCATTTATGTCATTTATATCCCTCAAAGTGTGTGCTCATCAATCATTCAAGCACCCTGCATCTGCTTTACTCATCAGGTTGCAAGCCACAGTTGGCGAACTCAAAAACAAACTGGCAGCAGAAAGATCATCAGAAGGAGAAGAAATCACTGCCCTTAAAGCGGACCTAGTTAAATTGCGCCAGTCACTGGTTTCCCTGGTCTCTCATTCATCATCCACCTCAGGGACTTCATCATCTGCCTCCATGTCGACGGAAGAGCGCAATTTCAGAGCTTGTTGCGACTTGGCTTGGCACAAACTGAGGGACGATTTGCGGATCCTCCAGGAGAAAGAACAAGTCATCTTCAAGGAATTTCTGGGGAACCCGGGAGGCGAGCAGCTCACTTGTTGGATTTCCTCGCCAATCGCATCTGCCAAAAAACAAGTACCAACACTCACTTCCGGTGCTGAACTTCCGTTGCCGGAATTTCAGGATCCTTGCGCGGGTGAAGAAGGAGGAGACGCGAGGATCAGCAGATTGTTGAGTAGGTGTTGCATTTTATTGCGACAATTGGGAAGATTTTAAAAATTCAAAAATCATTTGTTTTCATCAAAGTGATAATACAGTGATGCCAGATGTAAATATTGTACAGTACAGTGCAGTTTCTGGGCCTATTTAAATTAAACCTCTTTAAGTCGAATTTCCATTTGAACCCCGGACAATTTTCTTTAGGGGCAATGCTTTTATTTCAACTCCCTATAACTCAAAATAACTTTGGATCAAGACACGTTTTTGAGGGTTTATGTTATGTAATTGCTGGGGCTAAATTTTAAAGCACTTTTTGCAGAAAAAAACAGATTATATCAAGATTGTGTACATCATTTGTTTTAGGTGGAGTAGTGGACAAAAAAACAAGATTCATTTTAGAGTCTCTTGGAGCCAGAGGAGAATTTCTCATGGATGATGCTTTGAATCAGGTTCTCCAAGAATCAAGTGAATCCTGGGCTGATGACAATGATTCTGCGCAAAATAATTTGAAGCTTTCAAAGTTGGACAGCATTCTTCAGGTGAGGGACTTTGTTGTTGTCAGAAGTGAAACATTGAAACATTTATGGCTCTGCTGGGAATATAACTGTGGGTGCTCATTTCCAATGACAATGAAAATGATATATGAGCAAGCAAATAAATATAAGATTTCTTCAGTCTTATTTAAGTTAAAGAAATACATATATACAGTGAGACCCCCAGATGCAGACATCATTGGTGCATCAAGAGTGTCCCCAAGTCAAAATGTTAAGCCTTGTTTTCCCATAGACTTACATTATGTAATTTTTAATTGGTGTTTCACGGAAGAAATATTCTTCCGAATACCATGAAAAAAATGTTCCACTTGAATTTGATTCAGTTAATATCTTTTCAACTCAATAAGAACATTTGGAGCATTGAATAGTGTACAGATGTACAGTACATTGAAATGTTGGCATCTGTAAAAATGACATTCAAGTCAGAAAGAGAGAAGGAAGTCCCTCTATGCTATTGGTGATTTTTTAAATTAGCTGAAGAGATGGAGAAACACCAAAGAATTTTTCTTGCATAGATCTTAGGGTTTGAAGAATCTGTTTCTGGCAAATAATCCTATTGAAAGTTAATTTTCCTGAAATTTATTGGAAATATTTTATCATGCAATATCTGTATTTTGAGCCAGTGTCCATATGTTAAGCCTTTTTATGTCTTTTTTATTGAAAAACCAGTGTCCCTATGTTGAATTGTCCACATATTGAGGTGTCTGCATGTGGGGGTCTCAGTGTACTATGCTCTGTATACTTATTTACTGGTTATTTATAAATATAAATACTGTATTGTATATAAATGTGTATTTATACAATACTCTAAAAGTATACTGTACAAATATATCAAGTGTCCTTCATGTGGCAAAGCTGTTATTAAAATTTGCCTTCCAAAATTGCTTGCTCTTAATTTTTACTGAATTAAGAAATTAAGCATTCTTATCCAAAGAGCAGACAATACAAACTTATTCATTGTATGAATACTGCATAACTTTTCAGTTCAAATTTTGTTCAACCTTTCTTGTTCATTGTGTTTTGAAAAATGGCTGCTTGCGTAAATTTAGCAACTATTTTTCCTATAAATTGCAAACATTTGAACTTTTTATAACATTTTTCAGAGCCTTGGAGTCCAAGATGTCATCAAGTTGGAACACTTGCTGAGTTGCATTGAGATGGGGATGGGAAGTGAGTTGACAAAATAAACTATTTGGCATTCATTTTTTTCAGTGAAAGAATATATTTGCATCATGCCATGCTAAAGTGATTTTTGTATTGATTACTTGAATATTACAGTATTGGGACAAGAAATTCGAAATTTTGATGAAAAAATTTGAAAATCTGGTGAAAAAATTTGAAAATTTTGTAAAAAAATTTGTTATAACCAGAGATTCTGTGAAAAAAGTTTGTTAAAACGAGATTTTTATAGCACTGTACACAAGGCAAACTGCCGGGACCAATGAAAAAATTCGTTATAGCAAAAAATTTGTTATAATGAGATTCGTTGCAACGGAATTCTACTGTATTTTAATAAAATTAGTTATAAGCACAGTCAAAACCTGATTTAGAGCCACCAGCATTTCTCCAGGCTCATTTTGTGGGACTAATAAACAATGGTGGTGCTAAATCAAGGGTATTGTATGAGAGGGAGGTTCAGTTGAGGGTTTCCTTTGTAGGAAAAAGGAGCTGCTTTACAAAATTGTGTCACCAGTCAGCCTATTTCATAAGAGAGAAGTCCTGAAGAAAAATTTTGAAGATAACATTGAATGTACCATTTTTATTGTATTTCAAAATATTTACCTAGGCAGAATATATTAGTTTATGAAACAGATAATGGCTATAGTGGGATAGCTGAGTTGCTTCTCAACATGTTGTGTGCATTTGAGCTTTATATCAAGTTCCATCTTGAAAAAATCCCCAGAAATTTTTCTGAGAAAGCTTCCACTTTTTTTTCATTTTCAAGGAAGGAAAGGTGATGCGCAAAAAATGCAAGCAATGTGAAAGCAAAAATGAAATGTTCAAAATTATTCCAACGTTCATGTGAGCATGGGAATATGATTCTTGGTTATGAATCAATTATATACTTAGAAAAATGCCTTGCTTTCTTTGATTTTTCCCATTTTTAAAACATGACAATGATTTTTTTTTACTCCAGCACCAAATTGGGGTTTCTTTTAGGATCACAATCAGGGAAGATTTGTACCAGGGGAATTTGTGGCACTGTGGAATGGTGGAATTAACCCTTGTGCAGAAAAGTTTGGAAATGTGTGCAAAATTTTGTTCCCGTGAGGGCTGCAAATTTTAAAAAATACAATGAATCAAGGGATGACTGTACTCCATCAAAACAGATTTTTCAGTTGAATGTGTAGATGGAACCCTCTATTAATATACAGGCTGAATTAAGCCTATCAAATACAGTATTTGTGTAATCATCTTCTGTCATTTTATTTTATATAGATAGGAACTGGGATGGTAACCTTTTGTCACATGCAGAGATTATTCAGGGGATCCGCAGATTTTGCAAAACTGAGGAATCCCAGCAAATATCTATAAATGGAAGGTGAGTCGCATCAATAATTTGGCTGATTTGCCCTTGAATTGTAAGAACTGTTTATGAAACTTTGTCTTGAATATTATGATCATGATCAGATGGTGCTTTATTTAATTAACCGAAATTAATTTTATAATTTACTCAAAATTTTTTGATAGAACTTAATGTCTTGAATTATTATGATCATGAGCAATGTTTTTTTTTAATTGAAGCAGCATAAATTTATTTTATAATGTACTCACTTTGATTACACATTGATTATTGGGATCAATAATAAAGGCTGTTTTAATGATGGGCATCTTAGCCATTATCAAAACTTGAGAATATGTATGTATTTTTTGGGATAATTGAAGAACAGCAACAAATTGATGGAACATTTGATCATGCTGTATTCTTGATGAATGATGGAATTTTATGATGCAGTTTTCTGAATGCTGTGAAAATCTCATCACTGATGCTTTTGGATATATGTTTTTTAAAGACTGTTTCATATAACCGTGTATCACTTTGACACATTTTAAGGATTTTCTTTTGGAATCATGTTGAAGACAATTCATTAGATTTATTTTTCTGGATCCCACCACTCAAACTTTGCCTATTGTAATTTTTTATTTCCTGGCAGATCCTGTGTACATCAGAACAGTGTATCAATGCTCAACACTGTATCTCAAGATTCTCTCTAAATTGTTCATTGAAGTAAAACTCATACAGAAACAGGCTGAAGACCTTGTGGTTTAAATAAACTTTTACTGCTGCTTTGTCTTCAATATTGGGGAGGGGGGAGTTGGGTTGGGTGGGGAGGAGGTTTGGATGTGGGAGTCTTGGTTGTGCCTTGTGAACGCTGAAAAGCGGCAAATAAAGTTTTCTGTTCATTCATTCATTCTCAAGATTCTCAACCCTCAACAATCCTAAAAGTAGAGTGTTTATTTGACGTCATTGGCTCATTTATGATCTTACAATAATAAGGAATATATAATCTCCAATATTGAACATTACTAATTTCTGGATTAAATCTTTTTTGATTGTATAGGAGACCTGTGTTGCAAAGTCTATTGTACACATCAAGAGCAGACGCGTTCATGGTCCCAGTTGTGCAGGAGTTGGAGTCGCATCTTGAAGATGCCAGTGTCCTTTGGAACTGTATTGAAGAGTACTTGACCAAGTACATGGCCTTGTTGCGCAGCAGGTCCCTGTGTTGTAAGGACATGGGTACTGCTTCTCTGCGGAATCAGCAACTTCTTCAGATACTAAAAATTTATCTGTCATCAAACACTGGGCTAAGTGTCAACAGAATTGACTTGGGATCGATTTTGGTGAGATTAAATTGATTTCATGATTCATATTTTACTATATGTGATAATAATAACTCTGGATTCGATATTATGATATGAGGGGATTATAACCCGCAGAGTTTTTATGAAAGTCTTTCACTATTAGTGAAAGATTGACTTTCAACCTTCTTTTCAGATTACACAAGTTTTGATTGTTTAAAGCTTTAAAAAAAACCAAAACTGCAATCAGAAAAGTAGGTTGTCTTCCAGGAGTTCCAGCACCTCATTGTTAGAGTCAAATTTTTATAAATGTATTATTATACTATTCGAATATTCATATCTTCCACCTTTTTTTAAAATTAGTTTTCAAAAAATTTATTGATGAAAGTTAAAACCAAATGATGAGAATAGTCCCTGTCCGGAAGATACCCAAGCAGTTGAGTCAACATCCCCCAAATTAACCCCTATTTATGGGGATCCATATGACAATAAGACTTGAAGAGTAAGGATTAATTTCAGTATCTGCTGAATTAAAAAAAAAACTGTTCAAACTTCAGCAGTGTATACTATGCAAGGGTTGTCCTTCATGAACATAACCTTGGGTATTTGACGTATTTCTAGAGTGGGTACACCCAACAAAAAGAAATATAAGTTAGCCAATGAAATTCTACGGTTTTGGGAATTCTTTCTGATTTTTCAAAAAAAAATTGACATTTTTAGCATGATGATAAATGAAAACTTTCAAGCTTTTGATGCACTTCTCCACTCATGATACAGGGTGCTAAGAATTTTTAAGCACAGATGAAACAATGAAATTTTTATTTCGTTTCAACCATAATATTTTCTTTTCTTGAATATTTTAGAGCAATTTTTTCACAAAACTTCAAAAACACAAAAAATTTTGCTTCGGTTTCAATACCAAAAAATGTCTAAAAATGTCTGAAATTTCAAAAAATATAAAAAACATCATGAGAGAAATGGCATAAAAATATCAATTTTTATCTGGGCTTCCAAATTTTTATCACCCTGTATCATGAGTGAAGGGCATCAAAAACTTGGAAGTTTTCGTTTATCATCATGCCAAAAATTGAATTTTTTTTTATCTAATAAAATTCCCAAAACCTTTGAACTTCATGGGCTAGATTGTAAAATTTTATTTATAGGCGTACCCACTCTGAAAATACCCAAGGCTACGTTCATGTGGGACAGCCCTTTTATATGGACCAATAAACACTTCATATCTAATGCCGTAGTTGCAATAATTTCAATTCTGAGCTTCTCACATACACAGTTCTAACTTTTTCAAAGAAAATTGAGATTGTGTGGATTTCAAGATGGAATTGAGTATTGCTAAGAACACAATTTTAAACTCGTCTAATTGAAAATTTCGAGTATTCATTTGGTTAAATGTTATTATTTACAGGATTCACAGGGTACCAGAGATGCCGCAAGTCTCAGTGTACAGGCTGCTTCATTGATGGATCATACGACGAAAGGCCTTTGATGGATATTCTGAGACGGTTGCTGTTGCTGCAAAATTATTTGGCGATATATCATGTTTCTGAGAAATCATGTCATTTCTTGCTTTCTGGTGAGAATTCGAATTAGGTCTGCGAATCCTTGGATTTCTTTCCTAGGAATCAAAATCATTTTTATACTGCATTCTCATGTCGAATATGTACAACAATTATGCTCCGTCATATGTACCGTGTATGTATATTTTATTGCAGGTGATAATCTGCGATTTCATCAGTACAGGAAATGCAATGCATTCTTTTTTTCTGTTCTTCGATTATTTTAATTTTATTGTCTTCAATTTCGATAATATTCCAGGGCACCTGATATAAAAATGAATCATCATGCATTATAACAATATACATTGTATACAGATGTATGAATTCGATGAGCTGTGCTTTTATGAATGGAAATATTTATGGCTCAAAATCATACTTTCGATAACTTCCTGATCGTGGTCAATTTGCTATAACTCAAATAACTGCCTTGAAGCATACGTATACGGTAAGGCAGCAAAATCTAAACGATTGGATTGACAAACATTTTACGCCTGAAAAAATTTTAGTCATACAGTATATTTATTGATCCATATTCTTTTACGTTCAAGCAATAATATTTATTCGCTCGTGAACATTTCGAACCTCTGAAAAATTTGTGGAGTCGAAGGTCGCAATATGTAGTCCTCGTTCCATCAATCCTCGCAGACGCTACTCTCTTGCATCCTTCATTTGACCTGGAAACCTGCATTTCGGCATGGATCGATCAGGTCGATAGCAGTTAACCCGTGCAAAGAAGCTTCTGAATCCGCTAGAGCTGTGTGAGTTTTTCAATATGGCGATTCACTTGAATGCGTGCGCTGGATCCGCACATGGCAGTTCAGATTCTTCCGGGAGAACGTTGCGCGACCTCGCGAAGCCTTCGACGTGCACGAACATTTAGTTGATGGATTTTAATTCCTAAAATGTGATGTGTAAAAACGCCACAGCCAATGAAAGAGAGTGCCATCCGTCAATAATGTTTGTGCGATCCCAAAATTTAAAGTGAGATGTATACTTCCGGTTGCAAAATGAATTACCTTCGATTTGAAACTCCTGGATTATGTGTTCGCTGCGATGCGGGAAACTTGTAGTTAATGAACCAGCTTGCTGCGATGTTCATGAAAAGGTGTTTTCTAGTCAAGGGGTTTTCGGGGGTTATATGTAGCTCAGAGAAAAGTTTTCGAATAGTTCTTCCTTCCGAATCAATAATGATTTTGTGATTCACGTGCAGTTTTCGATAGCGCTGGTTTTTATCGCTGGTCAACTCATTGTGCCCCGAATTTATGTTGGAAAATTATTGTCGTCCGCAGGTGCTAGTGCTACCTGAGTGACCGGCTATCACGGCGGGAAGTTGCGCGGCTGCCAACGCGTTTTCGTTGCGCGCGCGAGCTGAGATGACTGGTTTCAACTCAAGGTAGTGACCAGTCTTGTGTTGAACTTTGGTCTCCTTTGTGCGAAGAAGACAAAACCCGTGGGATGAATTTCATTAACGTCAAACTCGAAGTACCTGTACTCGCACACGTGTATTGAGATTATGCTGCCAGTCTCTTGAATCCCCGTCGCCAACTACGATCTGCCGTGATGTCGGACGAAGAAGTCTATCACTGGTGAGTAATGAATCTTGGTACATTTATTTTTCTCAACGTGCTTTGCTGCTACGAATCTCGTCGTCGTAGTGGGATGGATCTCATACTGTGAACATTCTGCGTGCGTTCAAAATTTTTTAAATGTTTGTAATGCTCTTAACAAAATCATGGCCGAAAAGTGGATGGGATGTTCGCGACTGAGAATACCGTGTTTTCATGGCCCGGTCGATCTTTTCGACGTACGGTATTTCAAAACGAGTTTCGACATCGCAGACTACGCCCAGATTGCGCAACAAAGTCGTTCACGGCTGCTCTTGAACCCACGGTTTTCATTCTCTGTTCGTTTCGTTAACGTGCGCGTTACGAGCTTGAACTTGAATTCACGCTTTCGATTGCTTGTGCTATTTTTCATCGCAGCTGCTTTTTAAAAATTTCTACTGGTGCCCCGAGCTGAGGAAGTGAAAATTAATAAATTATAGGAGCAACACCTTATTCTCTCCACGAGGTGATTTACGAATTGTTGGAGGCTAGGTGTTGGTGTGAGAGCCTATCTACCTCTTGTCTTAATTCCGCCTATTTGCCAGTGAAAGTTTCGATTTTTCAAGATTTAGAAATTGGAACGAATAATTGCTTTGGAATTTTAAAGATTGCCAGCTGCTGACTATTTTTCCCAAGCGGGAAACCGTTTCTGAAGGTTCGGTTTTATTCATACATAGGCTGAAATGTCTCTCTAGAATTTTCGATTTATTGGCGAACTGCCCTTTTTTCGGAAATCTCTGCCTGAATCAGGGTGCGGCCAGTATTCTTAACTCGAACGCTGTCTTTCTCAGTGTTAATGCGGCTGCCGAACTGCTGTAGAAGAATAATTTTTGTGAATGCGAAGCATTCCATTCGTTGGAAGTCCTTGTACAGTACATGCTTTGCCTGTTAAAGTGGTGTAATTTTACCCTGTAAGTAAAGACGACTCGTGTGGTTCGCGCGGTTTGCCAACTAAGACGACTTGGGCGCCAACAGAAAGCGACGAGAACAAGCTGCTCTGATGCGAGGTCGCCGATTGACCCAAGCTTGTGTTGCAACTTCGGGTTGGAAGGGAAGGAAAAAAAATTAGAAAGGCATCGCACGACTTGCGTAGCGCCGATGGTTATTTTCATTTGGTCGGACCTCGTCTCGGAAGACGGTTCTCACGACTGTTATCCAATGAACGGTGAAATGGTGCTGTTGGATTAAATAATTTAACGCCTTCACGCAAATTTAAGCTACGCTTTTTTCGCTTGCCAAACCAGAGTGCTTTCTATCTCCGCGAACAAATCGTTCTTCATGTGTGGTTCGAAAACGTGCATCCATTCAAATACAGTGAGTCCCCCGCACAACCAAAAATTCATATTTCGAAATTTTGTTGTGGTATAAACTATTAACTACCTCACATAAAGAAATTTTAGACTCAGAAACGTTCAAATGTAATTAAATTTTGGGCTTCAACGTGGTAATTTGAAAAATTGAGGTAAAATGCGGAAATAAAGGCATAGCTTTTCCACTTATTTTCCTAAAATTTTGTGAAATTCAGAAGGTTGAGTTCACAACCTCAACAAGATTACTTGAATCTAAAGACGTTTAAACGAATCAAGGTAAAATGCGAAAAGAAAGTCTTTGCTTTTCATCTCATTGTCCTTGAAATTCGTGAAATTTTGGAAGTTGACTCCGCAACCTTGTAAGGATTACTTGAGTTGAATGCCGATTACTTTTTAGTTCACACTTACACGCCGAAAACTCGGAATAATACCGAGTTTTACAGGTTTATCTTGGTCTTTTTGTGTGTGTCTGGAACTAATTGAAATATTAAATAATTCATAATTTATCCTTGAGGGAAGCCGTATTTTGATTCACGAAAATTACGCAAAACGCACCGAGGAACGGATTAGTCTCGTCAATCAAAATTGCGTCGTTTTTTGATGATCGAAAATCATTCGAAGGTGTGATTTTCTTCTATTTTCAAATCGACAATCCTAAATGCAAATAGAAGAAATTACTTGGCAACTATTCTTTTTCCGTGGTACAGTAGTCCTTATTTTACTTGTGAAGGATGTGTAATATCATCATGCGAAATAAAATTGAAACGAACCTCTTTTTCGAAGTTCATCGCCTCGGTGCATTGCGTTTGAAAAGAAATGGGTACAATTACTGTAGTTCACCTTTCTTCTAACTCTGTATGATTTTCGTTTGTGGTACATCTTAGAGCTACTGTAGTTGAAAAGTTTCAGATTACAGTATTTCCCCCCAAGTTTTCAAAGGTACAGAATTTAAAAATTAAAGCGTCAGAAAACATTTGAGCTATTCCTTCGGTTCGACGCGTTGACACTTCGAAGTGCAGTTCACGTTTTGCCGAAGTTTATGTGCGTGTCATTCGTAACTCAACGGGAATTCCTCGTTCCTTCCTGGTTCGTTTTTTCTTATATGATTTTCTTTGTGCTGAAGTGGAGTGAATCGGCGTAAAAATTGTTCGTCACGGTAAGCAGAACTACGTGGGTTTGTTTTTGAAATTTTGACGTCAAGGATTTTCCGATGGAATGCGAATCAGATCGCGTGTATTTGAGCCTCGTGGTCTTTGTGTTCGACCGCAGTTCTTGTCGTGAAGATCTTTTTGTTCCTCCGATGAATGTATTGTGCACCAGACAGGAAACTCTGGATTTCGGGAGAAAATAAAAATATCAGTCTCAGATCTTTGCCGATATGCGGGGATTTTTACATTTTTCGCTGCTGTGGCACTTTTATGGTTCCTTGCGTGAGAAATCGGAGATTTTTTTTCAAGTATGGGTATCTGTACTTCCTCGCTTTTTTTATCTGATGCATTTAGTCTTTTTTATTAAATTTAAACGAGTGTAGGGTCATTTGTGTTGGGAGTTTTGAAAGTTGATAGCATCTTAATATTTGACAGCTGTACAGTACTTTTATGTGGGGTTTATAATCCAATCTTGGCGAAGTCTGCAAACGGAAGTGGTTCCGTAAGTTTGTGTAGACGATTAATTTGGCGAACTTTCACCAAGTGAATTGAAAAGCTGTGCTTTCTGTCCTGATGGACTTTTAAAACGAAATCACGTTCTGCTATTAATTTTTTACTGATCGTATTATTTAAATATGCCAGTAACAGTTACAAGGGTTTTGTTGAAAATCCTCGCTATTATCAAAAAATTATCCCGCGTTCATTTTTTTTTCTGAAAGGTTTACTTACATTACCGTTCTCCACTTCAATGATTGTACAACTCGAAACCTTACAGAAACTTCCTGAAAGAGCTTTGGGAAGATTTTCTTTGGGTAACCCATGCAAAAAAAAAAACATTACCGTTCTCCACTTCAATGATTGTACAACTCGAAACCTTACAGAAACTTCCTGAAAGAGCTTTGGGAAGATTTTCTTTGTGTAACCCATGCAAAAACATTGGATTCCATCTCGAGGGGTCACTTGAGCTGTACAGTATCTTCAATTTATAATCATCTTCTAGGATATAGACTCTGGATGATTTGATAATTTTTTTGCTAAACAATCCATTTTAAGGTAGCTTTTTGCATTTAAATTCTCATGCGTAAGACGTATGA